CGCTGTAGCTGGAGGCACATCAGAAGAAGATTAAAGTCACAATGGCCAGATTTACATACTTCCCAAGGAATAAATACAGGTTTAAGATTATTGGTACCACCCTTTTGAGATTCCTCATATAAACAAACCATTACCTCGTTGGGGTGGACCATCCTCTCTCACCCACTAAAACTAAGACTACTAAGACTAAAGACAAAACAAGATTATAAATTGTCAAACAAGGTTAATGATGTTATCCATATGCTCTTGCTACCACTGAATCAATATTAGGCCTTGCTTATAATCTAATCGATTACGGTTTTGACCCACATTGTAACCACCTTGTTATTTTGTTCTATAAAACTTCCTCAGAGAAGAGGGCTTTTGGCAAACCATTCAGGACCCCTCCTGTCTCTCCAAAGCTATTTGTATTCCCCAATAAGTTTTTCTACTCTTAAAAGATAATAATAATAATTCCTTTTCACATCTTGTTAATATCACAGTATGTTCCTGGAAATACATAATGAGAAGACCTACATAATAACAATAATGCAATAAATAATCAATTAGACAGGAACACATCTTAAGCAAACTTACCCTCCTTCACTTTCTGCTTCCTCTGAACTATTATTACTTGTTGCTGAACTCTGAATCGCAGTCACCCTTCTTTTTCTAGCTCTGTGCTGAGGACTTATCCTATGAACTGTTATCTTCCCTCCAAGTTCATCTTGTATATATTCCTCTAACTTTGGAATAGCTTCTTTAAGAAATTTGATTTCCTCTTTGAGTTCTTCCATATTTTTCAGCAAATCATTTAACTTGTCCAGTATCTGAAGCTGCCTTTTCTGAAAGATTGCTGCTGTTTCTTGGCCATTGTGTGTTTTATCTTGCAAAGGTGTTGAATCAAACGTATTATCCAGAGAAAACAATGTTCGTAAATTCACTGCTGTCCTTGGTTTACGGACCTTTTGATACCATAAAACCAGCAAGCTGATACCAGCAGTTCCCACCATGATGGCAAGGAACAGTTCTTTGTTTGTGGAATGAGGCATTTCTTGACCTTTGTTCCTAAAATGAAAAAGCATAAAATGTAAATGAATTTTTTATTTTGCCCAATACAAAAATATTAGTGTTTTTTAATCAATAAAAGCCAAGTTCTATATCATCAAAAAATTTGACAATTTAAAAACTAGAATATATTATCAGTAAATTCCTCTATAAGTTGTATTACCTAAGGGAAATATTTACTTTAAGGATACTACTAGAGTCTACTGTAAAGTATAAACTTTAATTCAGAATTAGTATTCTACATGGTCAATCTGAAATTTACTCTTTATTTACATTTTAAAGAGCTTGTTAAATAGAATAGAAAATATTATAAATTTCTGAGACACATATTTATGAATTCAAATTATTCTGAACTCTCTCTGACATTTGATTTATATGCTGGATTTATTGGTCTTACCTAGTTTTTAAAGAAGGCCAAGAAGGAGCTCCTTTTTAGCAGCTAGCTCACATTAGAACTTAAATTTAGTGATTAACAGTATTCTAAAGACCAGGGCTTACAGATATCTAACATATTACAGAGCTCTGGTGAGTTTATAATTCACTCCATCTCTGTCTTACACAACATGAAAAGCAGAAGTGACAACATAAGAGTCAGGTGTCATCCCTTTCCTCTTCTGACTCAGAAATTTGCTTATCCTTACATTCTACTTATTCTACTTATATTTGAAGTCTCTACAGTTTTCTAATTGTCACTTTTTAAAAAAAGAATTAAAAGTCATTTCTTTGACTCCTTTGTCTTTCTGACCTGTGAGCTTCTCACACTCAAGGATCAATCTATGGCCTACCTCAGTTGGTACTAACTCAGCATATTTTGACTAAATGTATCATAATTTTTCTTTAGTAAATCTTACCTTCATTAGTTCTGTTGCCTATTTCCTCTCTTAAAGTTGGAAGATGGTTAAAGAAAAACAATTTATGTGCTTCCTTCTGAGACTTTAAAATGGCATTAAGTAAAATGGGACTGTGATAAAGTATTATAATTAGAATAAAATATATTTATGTTTTTATATACTTTGAAGTTCCAAAATTGTTTACCCTTCAATTTTCCCTATTTAATAAACAGATAAGTACCAGTAATAACTGTACTAGCCATTTGGGAGAAATGTTACAAATAGTAGTAAGTCATCCTTTATAAGAAATTAAATTTGTAATTTTTAAAATTTAATTTTTCCTAACTTTCTCAAGCAATAAATTATTGGAGCTCTTCCACTTCTGAAGCTGAGAAAAGGAAAAGAAATCAGTCCTATAATGTTTCTTGTTTTTCAACCTAGTTTCTGAACAATGACACAAAGAGGGGAAAAATCAAACAGCCTAAGCTGAGCCAACAGAGATCAGAGTTCACAGAAACTTAAACACTTAAAATTTGTGTGACAGAGTAGGGATGATGAAGGAGTTGCTGCATTGGTAAAAGGACTACACATTAAAACCCCATCGAGGCAGACAAAGAATAACTTCTAGTGAAAAACTAATAAACTAAACTATTCCTAAAGATTACACAAACCTGGGAAGCATTCAGGTTCTAAGAATGCTTTTAGAACACATAAGAGTTTCAGCACATATCCCAGAAGGGTAATGCTTTGGTTGCGAGGCTACAGTAATCTTAGACTAAAGGCTACTAAGGCTTTCCTAAAACAGATTAAGAATAATCCTTAAAGAAATAAATTTAATTGCCATGAAGAGGAAAATCTAATACTGTTTAAAGTATAAACTAAACATTGTGGTACATCCCTGTATTACCAGCACTTGGGAGGCTGAGGCAGGAGGATCACCATGAGTTCAAGACCAGCCTGGGCTACTTAGTGAGTTTAAGGCCAGCCTGAACTACATAATGAGACTATGCCTCCAAAAACCCCCAAAATTAAAAATAAAAATAAAGACACAAGTAGAAAAAACAATCCAAAACTCAACAGCATAAAAGCAGTATGTCCAGTATCCAATAAAAAAAAAATGATTTCACACGCAAGTACGTAGGAAAATGCCAGAAATGGGGCAACATCAGTCTAAAAAGAACAAGAAGTGTGTGTGTGTGTGTGTGTGCATGTGTGTGTATGGAGGTGACCAAAAAATTTCCAAGTTAGATGAAACATATTCAACACAATCCAAGAAATAAGAAAGTCAAACCAAGACATAACATTTTGGACTGATAAAAATCAGTGATGAAGAGGATACCTTAAAATCAGCCAGGAAAATAGACAAAATATGCACAGAGAAGAAAAGATTACAAAGATGTCTTCAGGAATACTTCAGGCACAAAAAACAACAGATGACCTCTAAAATGCTGAAACTGCCAACTTACATTTATGTACTTGTGAAACAGTTTTCAAAACTAAAGGTTAAAATTAAAATCTTTGCTTTTGTTTGGACAAAGAAAAGCTGAGAGAATTCATTATCAAAAGATATATACTATAATAAAAAATGGCTTTTTGAAACAGGATCTCACTATGTAGTTGAGACTGACCTGGAACTCACTACGCAGCCCAGGCTAGTCTCAAACTCACAGGGATCCTCCTGCCTCAGCCTCCCTAATGCTGGGATTACAGGCGTGTGCCACCACACCCAGCTGTACTATAATAAATTTTAATGGAAGTTTTTTAAGCAGAAAGAAAATTATTAACAGAAAGGGGATATACAAAAAGGAGAAAGCATGCCAGTAGCAGCAAACATGTGACTAAATTTTTTTGCATTTTAAGATTGCCTTACAATTGCTTATTAAAGATAAAGTGATAATAATGCCACACGGCTTATAAACCTGTGCACAATTTTCCTTTTTTTCCTGTACCAGGGATGGAACTCAGGACCTTATGCTTGTGAGGCAGGCATGGCGCTTTTGAGTCAAGCGTAGTGCCCCTGAGTTAAATCCTGGTGACCATAAGATTTATAACATGCATGTCAGTAAAAAGTAGGTCAACAATAACTCAAAGTATGGGAAGGAATAAGTGAAAGTATATATTCTATTTGTAAATGTCTTAGTTTATAATGGAATGTCATTATATTAAGTTAAAGACACATAATCACAAGCCCTGGAGCAATCACTAAAAAAACAAAATCCATAAATGTACAGAAAAGCCCATAGTAGAGATAAAAATGGAACACTAAAGACATTCACTTAGACCAGAAGATAGAAAAGGAGGAAAAAAATGGGCAAATAGAAAAGAAATAAAAGAGAAATTATGTTATAACCTTAAGGAAAATCAATGACAAAAGATCAAGCAATGACAGTATCTTTGCCAATAAAAAGATCATTGAAAACAAAAATCGATGAAAAAGAAGGAATACTAAAGAATTATATATCATAAATTTAAGAAGGCAAGGACAGGTTCTAGGGCATACACAGAAGTTTTGGCTTTTGATGAAAACACATTCATAGTAATGTAAGAAAAGGCAGATTATGTGAACAGGGATTCAGTCAGGAGGGTAAATGCTGTGGTGGACGTTTTTTAAAGTTTTGATTGCTTTGTGCTCTAAGGGAAATAGGAAGTAAAATAAATAGCTGAGTGAAACAAAGCAGAAATATTGGAAAGGTGCAAATTATGAATTAGGTTGCATACAGGAAATGTGGCTTCTTATAGCTTTTATCATACGATTCTACATATTCTAGCAAACTGTTATTTTCTCCTGCACATTAAACAGCCAACTAAATGTGCTGTTTCAAACGCCCTATGTAAGAGGATCTGAAAGAATATGCAGCAAGAATCTATTTCTGAGAAACCTGCTTTTAAAAGAATATCTCACTTTAGCTTCCTGTTATAATATCATCCCCTTTAGCATCCTATTATACTATATTATATGCCTGGACCATGAGAATTACTCTGTTTGAATGCTCTATTTTATTATAGACTGAAGCGTTAATGAGAAGGAATTGTAAAACGATCTTCCAAGAATTATCTCCTATCTTAAAGAGCTTTAAGAATCCTTTCCCCTAAACCCAGGACTCCAGGGAAAAGCCTTGGTGCTTAATCAGGCCTGCCTGACCTCTGAATATTTTGCCTGGGATTTTGAAAATATTTTTGCTTACTGAAAATAGAACCCAGCATCTCAGGCATGCTAGGTAACTGTTCTATCACTGGGCAACAACCATAGCCCCAGGGATTAATTGTTTTTAGCTGAGGGGGAAAAAAAGCCTTTAACTAATTGGTATAAGTGGGAATTGCAAATCTTTCTATCCACTCAGTCCATCCCATTCGGGAGACAAGCCAGCAGTATATTATGATCAATTTGTAATTATTGCTATTTAATTTTATTTTCCCAAAACATACAGTATTCTACAAAGCAAAAGACACAAAAATTCATTATAGGCTAATAGATTCACCTCTCCACAGCTAATAAGTTTAATGATCTTGAGGTATTGCTTTATTTTGGTCAATAAAATGATTAGGGCTGGGGACATAGCTAGGTGGTAGAGCAAAAATTAGCATGCTTGACACACTGGGTTAAATGCTAGCACCACACACATATACACACACACAAAAAGACAAAAATTAATCCAAGATGTCCATATGCTGATCTAGAGGTCTATTAAAAGGAATCCTCTTATATTGATTTTTCTTTTTTTTTTTTTTGCTCATTCTCACTAGGCTTTTGTTCAAACAGCCTGGTTAGAAAATTTCTTTCATTTCAAAAGTAGATAAACAGGGGCTGGGGATTTAGCTCAGTGGTTCCACCACTTGCTTGCAAGCGCAAGCGCAAGGTCCTGAGTTCGATCTCCGGTACCAAATTATTAAATAAATAAAAAGTAGGGCCAGGGATTTAGCTCAGTGGTTCCACCGCATGCCTTGCAAGGTCCTGAGTTCGATCCCCGGTACCAAAAACAAAAAGAAAACAAAATAAATACACCATCAGAAAAAAAAGTAGATAAACAGTTGCAAAAATCTGAGAATTAGACATTCTTGAGATAGAACCAGGTTTAAACGTGAGAAATAGTCACACTTTGCCTAGCTTTACTGTAGGAGTTACACCAGCCCCAAGTTACCCTTTTGAGCCAGATCAAAATAATAACTCTATTACTGCTTTGCCGATAAACTGAGGCACACAACCATCAAATTATTTACTCAGGCCATCACCCAACTAGGAAGACAGAAATGTTAACCTGGACGCTCAGTCCTAACTCCTGGAGACATGCTCCCCTGCATGGGGAAGGTCAGAAGACATTAAGGAGGTGAAGGGCACTGCTGACTGAGCAGAGGCGAAACATGACTTAGGAAATGTGGAAGTTAACTGAGGAACAAAACAGAATCAGTGGAGCTGGTATTTGTTTTAAATAACCACAATTAGAAACTAATAGCTCAGTATGTTTGAACTTTATATCCGTGTAAAACAATCGTGCTTCTATGTCAATAATTTTAAAAGTTACAGATTAAGAAGATACAAAAGTAGTAATTCAGAATATATGCTCGTCTGCAGTATCATTTCAAAAGTTGTACGAAGCTATTTCTATAGTTCTTATCCTTTTAATTATATTATTAGTAGGTACATGCTTATGGTATAAAAAACACTAATGAGATTTTTACTAATTTAACTTTAGAACTCTAATATTTTAATAACCAGATACAAAGTATTACTCCTGTTACAAATTCAAATTTTAAGTCACTAGGAATAAGAATAGAACATGATAAACATTATTTAGTCTAAGTTACTAGCATCTGAAATTAATGTGCAATATGCAATCGAAGGTTATTCACAGAGAATCATCTAAGTGAAATGATAAAGTTTTGAGTAAAGAAAACTAGAGCATGAAAATGAAATAATGCTTTCTTGAAGCAAAATCTCATTTTCATGTTCCTATTTTTAATGAAATTTTGCTTCACCAAATTTATGATTATAACACACATCTAGCAATATACTCACTTGATTCATCAGCTGATTCTTAGGGGCAAAAACATGTAACTCATAAATTCAAAAATAAGTGAAAAAATTTTGCAACAAGGGGTAAAAAACACTATAGGTTACAGACAAATCTAGGGTTTGTTTCCCAAAGGAGTCGCCCTGAGACCTTGAAGACTAAGATTCTCTATAAACCCTGAAAACCCTCTATTTGTAAAGTGAATTCTAATACCCCTATTTCATCAGTTTTAATTATTTTTCCTATTTAAAATTTAAACTGAGAGCGCTCTGGTGTTTGGTTTATTTGTAAATGTTGGTACTGATAATCTGGGCCTTCTTTCTGTGTAAAATAGTTACAGAATACAAATCTAAAATAAAAAAAAAAAAAAAAAAAAAACCGGGAACAAAACACATCGGTTCCGAGGCAGAAGGATTAGATCCAGAAGCCGCGCTGACAGCCGAGTGTGCGTCTCCAGAAAGTTCTGCCGAAGGGGACAGCGTCCAGCCCCACGACCTCAGGAGGGGCGTCTGGCCTGGAAATAGCTGCGACCCCGGGGCCGCGGCTTCCGGGACTTCGGCTCCGCGAGACTCCCCCGGAGCCACAGACTGGCCGCAGCGACCCGGAAGTGCAGTCGCCTCTGCCGGAAGTGCTGCCATCGCCCTCCGCACGCCCCCTGCCACTCGGCCCCGCCACCCCAGCGGCCCCCTACTCTCCTAGGTACGCACCTGAGTTCTCTGCGCCCGCCTCTCGGCCTAGGAAAACCAGAACCCGGGCTTGCGAGCTAGCAGGCAGCTGCGGGTGTGCAGCGGTCCAAGAGCCCGCGCGGGTCTCAAAGTCCGGCTCCAGGGCGGGGAGACCTGACCCAGATAGCGGAGGCCCCAGGGGGAGGAGCCTGCGGCCAGGACTGGGTGCACTTTTCTCCCAGAAAGTAAGTTGCGCTCCACCTGACCCTCACCGAGTTTGAGGCTCAGGTGCCTCCTCTCCCCATCGCCTCCTCTTCGCTCTGCAGCACCTGGGCTCGGGGCCACCGCGCCTGTCCCCGCGGGTCCTCTCGCCCATCGCTGCCGCCGCCCGAACCCACTCCCATGCCGGTGCCATCCACCTCCCAACCTGCCCCTCCGCCCGAGATAACCGTTCGTGCGGACTCCTCTTTAGGCACAACCTTGAACTTTGTTCTGCATGACAGTCAAACGCAGACGTCACGTCTTGCATCAATAACCAATCATGTCAACAGCCCCATTTTCTTTACTTCTCTAGCTCGCGGTCCCTTTTAATGAGAAACATTTCCAGCTTTTTTGGCTTCGCTCCACTCCTAGTTACCTTTGGATAAAAGTCGCTAGCCTCTCAGATGACTAGGATTCAAGTTTTTCTCCAGCTTCACTTTTTTGTTGCAAATAAACAGTGAAAAGCTGTTTACACATCCAGCCTCTCTGTATTTCCCTCACCTTGTACAGTGCCAGTGGTTGTTTTAAACGTAGGCTTATATTGAACTTAGTCTTAATTACTAAATTCCCCACCAATGTACTGAACAGCTAGAAAACACAATACTTGTGCAATCCATATACTATTTCAGATGGAGATTTGGAGATTTTATCTCTTATGATTTTTCTTTTGAGTGTTAAGCTGCACTGAATAAGCCTAGCTACTGACATTTTATTGAAAGCAGAGAAGAGACTAATATTTAACCTCTTAGATACAAAACTAGTAAACATTCCCTTCTACGACACCGTCATTCCTTTTGTTTTATTTTGCAAAAACACAATGCTAATATTTGCTTTTTTTCACCAGAATACAATATAGTTCGGTCATGCAAGGTAACAGTAGGTTTCTCCTTTAACGAGATTTTTTTTTTTTTTTTTGTACCGGGATCGAACTCCGGTGCTTGAGCTTGCGAGGCAGGCGGTGGAACCACTGAGCTAAATCCCCTGCCCTAACAAGATTTTAATACAAGAGAAACCTTACTGTCTCTTAAATAATACTTTAAAAGAAATTTTGAATACTTAAAAATATATTTAAGCTTTGTCAGGAGTCCACTGAAATAAATATCTGAAAATGTTTACTTGAAAATAATATGCACACTTGAGGGAAAAGCATTTAAGAAATTTTGTAGTCTTTCCAATAGTAGTGTCAGTTTTGTTTGTTTTTTGTTTATTTGGTTTTCTTTTTTTTGTTTATTGGATTTTGTCTGAGTGTTTTATTTCCAGTTTCAGCCCTGTAACAATCACCAATACATATAGTTAACTATCCTGTCTTATCATTCCTTGTTCAATTATTTACACGTTCTTAACCATCTGTCAAATTACCCAGCAAGTAGACCATTAAAGGAAAATGAACTGCTTAATTAGAAGTCGATCAACAGTTTTGTCTCCATTTCCTCACATGATACATACTTTTTTTTGTTGTTAGAAATTTGATATGGAATTTACTTGAAAGCTCAAGGACTTTTAATGGTCAGATACCACTTACATTCCAGGATGCTTTGTTCTTTTGGCCCTTCAAATTTTTAATTTTTACAGCCTGAATTCTTTCATTTATAAACTCAGGGCAGCCATATTTCTAACTGAAACAGCAAAATCGACCTTTTATCTAGCCTGGAGATAAGGAAATACTGTAGTTTAGACCTAAGTACAGTAGATGAAGTAGATGAAGTCATTGTTTTAAAATTAAAAACATCTATAACCAGTTGACAGAGATTGAAAGAGATGTGAGAAAGAGAGAGAGAGAGAGAGAAAGAGAGGGAGAGGGAGAGGGAGTTCCAGAAGAGAAATAGATACAGAAGAGAGAGGAAAAGGGGGGAATAGCAGGAGAGGTCCTTAGGCTAAATGTGCAAAGAGCAGGGGTGACGGATGAGGAAACCAGAGGTAACTGAAGCCCCAAATCAGATCTGTCAGCTGGAGGGAGAGTAAACAACAGCAAACAGCAGCCATAGCAAAAACATTCATTGAGGCTCATATGCAGTTTTCCTGCTCCATTCTTTTTTGTCTTTTATTGAGTTTATTGGTACATTTTAGGTATACAGTACAGTTACATTCATTATTGGGATCTTTTACCTTTACATGACAGGTGGCCTTGGTTCTCATTTTTTCCCCTTGTCCCTGCCCTCCCTTCACCCTCTCCTCCTCTCCCCATTTACAAATACTTTATTTCCATTTTTTCATTTCCTCATATTTTTTCCTTATTACCTTTCCCCTACCCTTCCCACTTTCCCTACACCTTTAGCCCTTTTCTTCCCATTTCACAATGCCAGTTATCTCGTTAGGATCTTTTGTACTACTACAGTTTATTCACACCAGAGAAACTATTCAGTATTTACCCAGGTGTGACTTATTTATTTCACTTAGGAGTATATCCTCAATATGTATCCATGTTCCTATGATTGAGTCTAATTTCTCATTCTTTATGGCTGAGTAGTATTCCATTTTATAGAAAAAGCACATCTTCTTTATCCAGTCTCCAACTGATGGGCAAATGGACTGTTTCCAAGTTTTAGCTATTACAAACTGTGCTGCTATAAACATGGGTGTGCATATATCACTCTGTATGATTCTTTTAATTCTTTTGGAAAGATACCCAGCAAGAGCTATGGCTGGGTCAAATGGAACCTCTAGTCTCAGCTCTTTGAGGATTCTCCATATTGATTTCCATAGTGGTTGCACCAGTCTGCACTCTCACCAACAATGGAGAAGGGTTCCTTTCTTCCCACAACCCCGCCAGCATTTGTTATTGGTTGATTTCTTGATAGCAGCCATTCTTTGTGGGGTGAGGTGGAATCTCACTGTTGTTTTCATCTGCATCTCTCGAGTGACCAGTGATGTTGAACATTTTTTCATATATTTGCTTGCTGCTTTTACTTCTTTGTCTGAGAAATGTCTGTTCATTTCGGATGCCCATTTTTGAATCGGGTCTTTATATTTGGGGGGGCTGATTGTTTTGAGTTCTTTATATATTCTAGATAATAGTCCTTTGTCTGAGGAGCAGCTGGTAAAAAGTTTTTCCCACATTGTAGGTTGTCTCTTTTGCAGTGCAGAAGCTTTTTAATAAGATGAGATCCCAAAAATTCATTTGAACCATAAGAGACCTAGAATGGCAAAAGCCATCCTAGGCAACAGAGACATGGTAGCGGGTATAACAATTCCCAATTTGAAACTACATTACAAAGCCACTGTGATAAAAACAGCATGGTACTGGCAAAGAAACAGACCTGAGGATCAGTGGAACAGATTGGAAGACACAAAAACAACTCCGGATGTACTCAGCTACCTCATCTTTGACAAAGAAGCTGACCATCCCCACTGGAGGAAAGATAGCCTCTTTAATAAATGGTGTTGGAAAAACTGGATCTCAACCTACCAAAGATTAAAACTAGACCCTTATCTTTCACCATGCACTGTTAAAATCCAAGTGGATTAAAGATCTAAATATTAAAACAAACACTAAACTTGCTGGAAGATAAGTTAGGCAGAACTCTTGAAGACATAGGCATAGGGAAAGACTTTATGAAAAAATCCTCAGTAGCAATGGAACTAGCAGAAAGAATCAACAACTGGGATCCTGTTCCACTCTTTATATAGATTATCTTATTCCATCTTTTCAACAATCCAGTGAAATAAATATTCCTGATGAGGAGACTGAGGCTTTGAAAGGTGAAGAAACTTGTCCTGAGCTGCAGTTAGTTTCAGAGATAGTCATCAAACAAAGCTCTTTCTGAGAGCTTTTCCTTTTACCACTCCCTGTGATCCTACCTGAATAGTCAGGCCTTGCTGCCTTTTTAGTGTGCTTGAAGGAACCATGTGCTTTAGTATATGTGCTGCTGAAAGCGAGCACTGAACCGTGTGCTTTATAAGCACATCAGAGTGTGTCTTACATGATATGGCGTGTCTGTATCCCCACTTCAGCTATTTAGGGTTCCGACTTGACTGCTTCTATTGGAAGAAGGAAAAGACTCCATCTCTGAGAACTCTGCTTCCCCCATATCTAAGCCACAGTGTAAAAATTACTGCATGGCCACTGTATACATGTTAGACTAGGAATATGTGTTAGTTACTTTTCTCTGAGACAAAATGCCCTACACCCAAAGTTAGAGGAAAAGGGGTTTATTTGGCTTTACAGTTTGTAGAGGTTTCAGTCCATAGTCTGCTGGCTCCAAGACAGGGATGGCAAACAGACATTGCAGAGAAATAAAATGGCTTGCACAAGGTAGCAAAGGCAACAAGAGAACCTCTTTCTGCCCTTTTTATTCAGACTACTTAGGGCAGGTAGCACTTATGCCCTCAATCTCAGTGCCTTTGGTCCTAGCCCCACCATGAATTAACCACACACTAGATTCAGCCACCTCTGCAAAAGCATGAGGCTTTGGCAGAACATGTAAACATGAGCCATAACAGAATAGTTTGGAAAAAAGAGGGAAAATAATGCTGTGTCTAATATAAACAGTTTGAAAATATTTTTAGAGGAACCTCTAAAACACAAGAAAATTACAAAGAAAAATTTCTTACATGATAGTGACTAAATT